ATTTATTTGAAGACAATCTAATGACAAATATTTGCGTGGAGAAGTTCAACCGCTTTATAGGTATATTAGTTTTTCTTGGTACAGAGCTCGCAATAACATTTCGACAAAAAACATTGCCAGTGAAAGGACGTAGAAGTCAACTGAGTGACTGGAATCGACACTCTGAAGGATATAACATCCGATAATCAAAAACGATTATACGGTTCTGAAATAAATATGTTTTGACACGAAGAACTGTAATTTGGAATAACTTTGAAATTATTTCTTTAATCAATTTTTAACGATAAATTACTCAAATCAATTAATTTATCGTAAAGTCATTTAATTTTTATCTTTTCTAGTGCTGTTATAGATTTTTTACTACTATAATTTATAATAAACATGCTTTCATTAAGGCACTGAAGTCAGAAAAAGGGTATTTTCTAAGGTCATAATAATTCAAGAACCCAACCAAAGAGAATTTAATGACGCTGTTGACGATTCATAGCATGGCTGGCACTTACTATATAACTGGTTCAAACCAGATCCAGACAGAATCCTATAGATATAGATGAATGTAAGTACGTATGACATTGTCTTCAGAACTACCGAAAAATAGTTTCCAAATAACTTAGCATTACAAAATAATAGCACAATCAACTAAAATATTAATATATAAATTAAAACACCTTTGCATTAAACTTTAATTAACAATTATTTAAAAAATAAATAAAATATTAAGTTGAATAATTATCTAAACAAATGAAAAAATCTCATGTTTAAGAGTAGATGTGGATGTTCTCTCTTACGAATTTACATATATTTTATATATTTTTTTTAACGTGGCCATATCACATTCCTTATGTATAAATCCCTATAAAACGCTTCATTTAGAATTTGCACATCCTGAAACTAAATTTTATAACCTTTGCTTCATTTAATCGTGTTCTTATTGTGTAGTTTAAAGACAGAAGGCATTAATATTGTCTTAATGTTGCCCTTTCTCCGGCAATTAATTGTGATGCTATTTAATTTAATTGTCTACGTTTAATGGCTTAAGGCAAAGAAACGCAATTAAAACACTTGAACAAATTTTTGGAAACAATTAAGCAAAAACACGACACAAGATACTCCATTTAATAGTGTGAACTCATACATATTACGAGTTACTGACTGGCACACGTAAGTAACTGATATATTTGAAGTGACTGACACCCTCCAGTGCGAAAGCTTGTCATTGATTGCATTAAGTATTTTTCGTGGTATTTCCTAATGATAATGATGATGTGTAATAAGAACGTTAAAGCCGGTTGATTATTACTATAAATTTAGATGAAAAGGTAAACCAGAATTCTTGAAGGATTATTTTGTTACAAAAAAAAAACATAAAAGAATTATTCGGAATACGAGGATATGAAGATCCACAAAGTATAGAAATAATTCAGAAAAAAAAAAGTGGGATATATAGGGATGTAATTTGGGAGTTTGTTATAACTAGGTTGATGATATTACACATCGAAGGTGCTGATGTTGAATTCTAATACATCTCGAGTCTAAAACCCGGAATATGTTTGCAACTAGCAGCATTCATCTTCAATTTTGAAATAATGTTAAATAAGATTAAAATTCATAACAATATTGTTATTAAAAAATTTTCAACCGTTTTTTTATCACTTCCTCTTGTTAATGATTTCCCATATCAAATTATAATGCTTTTTTCTTTAAAATAATTACTGGTAACATTCATTAACTCAAGTACTAGTATTTCGGATATTAATGTGTATATGTGTAAGAGATCTGTATAAGTTAGCCACTAAGATCATTCGTTTTGTTCTCACTGGAATAGTGAATAGTGCGTTCATGGAAATAATGAGGTTTATAAGTACGATCCTAATAACCTTAAAAACGAACATGCATCGCATTATCATCAAGCTTTTGTCACCTATGTGCCGATGAACCTTCGAAAATATTCTCAAAAGGATTTTATTCTGTAAGATATCTCATTGAATACAATGAATGATAAATTTCAGCTCTTATCGTAAGATCTAAGTAACATATTAAACTAAAAATTAGATTAAAAACTCAATAACGATTGTGTTTATATATGGTATACATTTATTTTCTTTTAGAACCATTAATTATATTAACTGATTTTAAAATTAGTTTACTGCTAATGGTTTGTAACCACTTTCCTCCACTTCGGCTTTAAAACACTGTTATTAGCTATTATTTGAAGCTTTCTTAGATACACGATATGGTAAACAAATCTACTTAGAGGTCTGGTTCCAATTAATATTGCTACACAACAACATATTTATGTATAACTTATGACTAGCTAGATTAATCTAACCTAACCTAAAAAACTCAAGAAAATTTTATACACATACAGATATTTATATGAATTTGAGGACTTGGTCAAATATTCCATTTAGCGGTACATAGACACGTGTTTCGTCAAGTTCATGGAAATAGAGCTTCAATGCTGTTTTCAATTGATGAATAATATATATCCTTTTTATAATTCGTATAATAATTGCAATTAGTAATTATTTTAATCCAACTGGATTACTTTTCTTCAAAATACGAAAGTAGTTTTCTTCCTCAAAGTGACAGCAGGTAATCCTTTTATGGATATGTCATTCAACTTATAAAAACCGTGACTTGCCAAATTCAAAACCAAGCCGTGTCTTAGACTTTTTATTTTGTATATTAAGTATTGAATAAGAAAACATGGGTTTATGAAACTTTAAAATTTACACAAATTTGCTACTAAATCAATATTTAAGTACACATTTAAGTGTACATTTGAGGGCAATTGTAAATAAATCTCTGTTGTCCTTTAGTTTAATGAAGAAAATAAATATTTTCCAAATGCTGTCAAAAGTTTTTGAAAGGAAAAATAAAAGGGAAAGCAACTACGGTAATTCATACAAATAAAAATGTAGAAAAAAACTTTTAGACTCGACTTCAAATTGTCACTTCCATCTTCCACAACAGTTTTTACATCCTTCCCTATAACATTTAAGTGTTTGTCATGCATTGCCGTGAAAACTTTTCCAGTACTGAGCTTGAATTAATTATGATCCTAAATCGTTGTCAGAAGTTGAACTTTTTGTATTTTTCTCATTCTCTTATATGCATCTTAGTAGAACTCTAAAGCACTCTATGTGCGATACAAACTCGTCTTTATATAAAAGCCGGAATATTTTTTCAGGCTATAGATAAGTATGAGTCCTTGTAAGTGGAAGGTAGCAGCTTCCACACTTGATTCATTTGTTTCTTATTCATATGAAAAGTTTTTAGTTTTTAGTACTTCAAACAATGTAAAGAACCATCTTTCTTAATTTAATTCGTCAATTTTAATTAACATGTTTGTTTTCTGAAAACAACACTTCACATAAAAATATAAAAAGGTTTTAAAACTTAAGCTTAGTTCGTTATAGTTATCCTTTTCCCTTTTTATTAAAATTTTAAAGTTAATTTTTTTTAACCTCGTACTTAACATGAGTTCATTCACTATTTTAATTATAAAACCATTTATAATTATTAAACGTGTTTTGATCTGTTG